ACATTTCTCTTGTGCAATTTACTTTACTACAAACCACTTTACTCTCTTTGCATCCACTATCCTCTTCCGTACGCTTTCAAAGTTAATACTTTTATGAAACAATTTTTCGTCGGAAATGAATTTAATCATAACGAAGTTTTGAATCGATGTAATTTTTACCGCTGCACTAATTCACACACCACCACCCCCCCTCTCTTAGTGCTGACTCTTTTCCTAACAGTAAATGAGTCTTTAAGACAAAACGTGACTCAGCGGGCAATATCGAATGATATAAAGTCATTATGGTCAAAGGATTTTCACAGAAAGAAGGCATTGATTACAACAAGACTTTTTCTCCAGTTTTTAGAAAGGACTTGTTGAGAATCGTAATGACATTTGTAGTTTATTAGAGGGATGTGAAAATAGCATTTCTGAATGGAGATCTGGATGAGAAAATATATATGGAATAACCTGAAGGATTCATAGAAAGGGAAAAAGAAAGTTGAGCTTGTAAACTTAAGAAATCCATTTATGGCCTTAAATAAGCTTCCAAATAATGGTATATAAAGTTTTTTAATACCATTACTTCCTTCGAATTTAAGGAAAACATTGTTGATCGGTGCATATATCTAAAGGTAAGTGGGAGCAAGTTTATTATATTAGTCTTATATATAGATGATATTTTACTTGCCAATAGTGATCTTGGTTTATTACACGAAACCAAGATATTTCTCAATAAGAATTTTAAGATAGTTGATATGAATGAGACAGCCTATGTTATTAGCATTGAGATATTCGGGGATAGATCTCAAGGATTATTAGGATTGTCTTTGAAAGAATATATTAATAGTATTTTAGAGAGATTTAATATGCAACTTTGCTCAGCCAACGATACACCTATTACTAGAGGTGAAAATTTTAGCCAAAACTAGTGCCCGAAAAATGACTTAGAAAAGAATCAAATGAAAAATATTCCTTATCGGTGCGTAGTTGGAAGTTTATTATATGCATAAACCTGTACAAGACCATATATCAATTTTTCAATTGAAATGCTGGGAAGATACCAAAGCAATCCAGGAATGAAACATTAGAAAACTACAAAAAAAATAATGAGATATCTATAGGGGATAAAAGATTATATGCTCATATACATAAGATCAGATCAGCTTGAAGTGACGGGATATTCAGATACTGATTTTGCAAATTGCCTTAATAGTAGGAAGTCCACTTCAGGATTTATATTAATGGAAAAGTGCAAAGCAATTGTTTATTACATCATCAACAATTGAAGCTAAATTTGTGACATGTTTTAAGGCCACAAATCAATATTTATGATTGCAAAATTTCATCTCAAAACTTGGTGTAGTCAACTCAATTGCTAGGCCACTGAAGATATTTTATGATAATACCATAGTAGTTTTTTACTCTAAGAATGACAAATTCTCTAATGGTTCCAAGCACATTGAGATAAAGTATTTGGTAGTTAGAGAAAGAGTCCAGAAATAGCAAGTGTCAATTGACAATTTGAGCACCACTATGATAATTACTGATTTATTTGCCAAAGCTTTATGGTGTAAAATATTTAAAGAACATGTTCTTAGAGTGGGGTTGTGAGCAAGTCATAAAAGATATGGTGATGAATGTTTAAGTTTATACTATTATTGATATTCTTTCGTACTTAATTAAAGTTATTTATTTCTGTTATCCTATTTACATTTATGTTTATGTATATTATAGTTAAATATAATAACGGGATTATCTTGACAAAATAAATTTTAATAATCATTTTGGACTATATTAGGAAAGATCAACAATGTTGTGGTGCATAGAAGGGAGCATAATACTGATGATATACAACCGTTATGACTCGCATTGATAGTTGGACTTAATGTAGTATTATTGTGTTTATTAGACTTATTGACTTGTTTTAAAAGTAATGGCTATGTATAAAATACTTTTCAAAATTCTTTAGAATCTAATTATGTAAAATTATTTTTAAACAAATTTTATTTTATTTATTTTTATTTTGAATATCTTTTATATATCAATTAATGGCGTAAGTAGGAGAATGTTAGATTTTGTAGCCTTTTATAATTGGATAAGATATATAATGGAACTAATTGGATTCTGATGATAAATATTGGTCAATAGAAAAGAAGTTCATATTAAAGTAGGATTTCTTAGGGGATGCCCTTGATGGGTGGAACTCTCCTAATAACTTATCCTAGACCCTTTACTCTCGCATATAAATAGACAGGACCTTTCGGGACTAGATGATCAATGTTACGCATCTCATAGAAGACTCAGTTTAGGGATTACAGTCTCTCTCTCAGTTCTCCCTAACCATCAATCTAAGTGGCTCTGTGAAAGGATACGAAGATAGCATAAAGATCTAATTCTCTTTAAAATTTAACAATAATCTTGGATCTAAAGATGGTATCACAAACATCTTTTTTTCATATCATATCTAAAATTAGATCTAATATTATTTGATGTCAATCAAAATATAAAATATTATTTTTATATTTAATATAATATATTATAAATTTTATGCTAATCCTGTACTCCTCGAGGGTTGTATACTGATAGAAGAGTAACCCAATTTTGAATGGGCTAAAATGGAGATTCTGATGGACACTGCATATCAGAAATAGGGATAGATGCTGCAGTTGGAAGCCATCAAAGATGATCTCATTCTTGCAAAGCAAGCTGAGATCACCAGGATCATAGTGGAAGCTCATGCTGAGGTAATGATTAAGTTACCTGATGCCAACCGTTCACCACCTTGGAGAATGAGCAACTTGTTTAAAGATACTATGTTTTCTGCGCCTTTAAATTATTGCATATCATCTTTGGATAAGGAAATAGATGTGCGATTAGCAAATTTTGGTAGGATTATCAAATCCTTTGTTGCACGGAGGTGTATTAGGGTACAAGGAATACAAGTATGGAAATATGAAAGAAAGAAATTTTAAAAATTAAGATTTTATTATTTCATAAATATGCATGGGCTCATAAATGTAAGATTCCTAGATTCAGTATTTTTAGGTCAAGGGATTCAAGTATTATAATAAAATCTCTTCAGAATGTTTTATTTATATTTATGTTTTAGTAAAGATATAAAAAATTGAGAGAGAGTGAGAGAAACTCTTTAGTACCCACAAAATTTCTCTTTCTTAGATCTAGAGATTCGATAAGAACACATCAGTATCTATAACAAAAATATAAAAAATAATTTCTATTTGAATTAAGAATAATTGACTAAGCTTATAATTTCATCTCATGTAATAAATAATTTAATCTTTTTCTTTGCGAACATAAATAAAAAGTGTCGAATCATGTAATCTTATGCTTGATTTCTTGGAGTATGTTTGATTGCTGATTCTCTATATAATTCTTTTGGTATATTAAGGTCTTCTTCATCTTAACAATCTTTATGTGTCCTTATTTTTTAATAATATTTTTTAAAATATTTGATGATTCTTCTCATGATGATGTTAGAGTAATTAATTTCATTTTTCTTTGACATAAAGAAACCAATTGAATGGACACACATATTTCTAAAATTCCCACAACACTTTGGAACAAAAAAATCCGGAGAAGGATTGGGCACCAAAGTGATATTCAATACAAGTTTTCTTTCCTTTTTCTTTTAATTTTCTAAGACCAAAGAGACTTTGATTCAAGTATTAAATTAGTCTTTTCATGACCTCTAAATACTTTAGACCGATTTAATCTAAAACAATCTTGCTCATCCATTGAAATTTTTAATTTACTAAATCTAAGGGGAATGTAATCCAAAAGCTCTCGTGAAATTTAATATATATTATCCAACTTAGAATTATTCATTAGCTATCTTTTGTTTCTTTTACTTACGTCATTCTCTCGTCACGGTGTGGGTTTTACATCATCCCTTTATTTATAAATGTAAGTCAAATTACGGTTTGAATAAGAATATGATTTTGTTGGATATCATAAACGTCTAACTTTTTTTGCTTTCAATTTTTAGCTCACTCTTTTGTAAACCTCTATGTCATGTTCAAATTTTCTAATTTTGAAAATTGATCTCTAGTGAAACTGAGTTTATTTTTAAAATTGATTTATCTATATTTTATGTTATCTTTTAGATGAATTTGTATTTTTCAAAACTTATTCTCGTTCACATGGTACAAAATCTTAAAATTACAAAAATGAGATAGAGAGTGTAATAAACCAACTGTACATTTTCTTTAGTTAGATTTAGAATAAGGTGATACAAAATTGTAGGCATGGCATACTAACTGACTTCCAAGTTTGAATACCTAATAATTAATCGTGTTCCAACTCGAATATGGTTTAGGGCTTAGGCTAAATAAAATTCATAAGTAGCTTATCGGCCACCATTCTATTGCATAATAATACCCCTAATAATAATCTATATTTCTCGTATGGTTTTAAAAAAAAATGATTACATTGTTGTCTATCTTTCAAATTTTGAATGATTGACAACCCTCTATACCTAATATTTGTATCCAGCATTCTATATCTAATTGCAGTCCACAATGTCTGCAGGAAATTATCATCTCAAAAATGTGCTCATTTAGTCCCAAGTTCCATCCATCAGTTATCTATTATTATTTTTCTTTTTTATATGTCTTCATAAAAGACATACGAAAAACACTATGAACTCAAATAATTATGTACAGTGTTTATTATTATTATTTTTATTTACCCACATTCCCTTAAAAACTGATTGAAAAATAGTAGAGCCTATTGATTCCAACTAATGCTTTAGGAGTAATCGAACTATTCTTTTACAAGAATAAACATCGGATATTAAAAAATAAAGATAATAAATAAATCTTTATTGTAAAAGATAACGAATAAATATAATATAATATTTTGAATAAATAAATATTTATCAATAGGAGAAGATAAACCGACGACGTGTTTAATCGCCGCAACGGTCTCTTCTAGGTAAAATAAATAATATATTTATGAATAATAAATGAATTAATGGAATAAATAAAAGAATTCCGGCGTGACGCTCAGAAACTCCAGAGAGAAGACCCGGAACCGTAGTCCACATGGCCGTGATCCTCCGCCATTTCCGCCGGCTGCGCTGCCGACATCGGCGAGTAGAGTTCGTACATGAACTCGTCCATCGCCACCGGGAATTTCCCACCTCCTGTCGGCAGATCCTCCTGCTGCGGCGGGTCCAAGAACGACCAGTCGAGCGCCACCCCGCTCCCGACAGTGAACCCGTCCGAGGCCTCCTCCGAGGGTTGCGACGGCAGCGTGGCACCCGGGGCCTCGGATGGGTCGCCGGCGGCGTGGCGCGCCGCGGCGGCCTGGATTTGCTGGTAAGTGAGTGGCCCTGCGCCAGCGATCCGGGGCGGGGGCGCGTCGGGGCAGTTGAGCTGGGCGCGGCGGCCGCGGAGGTAGACGAGGGCGGCGTCGAAGGCCCGCGCGGCCTTCTCGGGCGTGTCGTAGGAGCCGAGCCAGATTCGCTCGCGGCTGTTGGGGAGCCGGATCTCGGACACCCACCGCCCCCACTTCCGCCGCCGCACCCCCTTGTACCGCCTCTCCCCCGCTCCGCTGCCGTCGCACTCCATCATCTCTGCCACGGGACAACCCTCAGGTGATCTCTCTCTGTCCCTTCTCATCTTCCGCGCGCCAAGTGTTCGTCCAAATGTGCACCCGGGGGTGGATCAGTTGAATTGGCGGGAAGGGTGTGCCATGGGGTCATATATAGATACTATACGATGCGAGAGGAGGCTGCGGGTCCCGCTTTAGGTGGTGGGAACCGGAGACGAATGCCAAGACAGACGTAGAGAGAGTACGATTTCGTGTGGAAAACTAGGTTCGATATTAGAAAACAAGGTTCCCATGATTCTTGTTTCTACGACCCGTACGTACACCGGCCTAGTGATTTAGTTGGCTCCACATAGACGCCAACGTGGCTCCAATGACAGCAGAGGATATACATGCGCCACCAATAGGAATTTGGTGGGGTTGCCCCATGGACAAGGAGGCTTCGCGTGGGGTTCCTTGAGCGTCATGTGTTTCTTATTTCGGTCTTTTTAAGGTTATTCCTGTTTTGTTCTTCTTCTTCATCGTCACAATTCACTGGAGAGCTGTAAATATTATGTGACAGCTTTATATAATTATTACCAAATTAACATTTTATTTAAAAAAATGTTTTACAATATATTGTATGTTGCACAAATAATTATACTAAGAATAAAAATGTACCTCTGGTTATCACCTCAAATCAAGCAAAATATATTGGTATTAGTAGGTGGATATGTTACATTGACGTTGTTTCTACCGGGTGTTTTGACTCATCATTAGCTCAAAATGAAAATGGCATGTGCATATGTCCACATATATGAATTGTGTAAATAGCTCTCACATATAATATTATGATTTGAATTATTTCAATTAATTTAAAAATGATTGACATAGATCTAATTGTCTGTTCTATGTCATTGAACAGATAAAATTATATTGTATGTTTTTAGAACTTTTAGTTTTTTTATTCATCTAATGCATATGTTAAGGTGCCACTAATCTCTAAGGTTCCAAAAGTTGTAGATCATATTCAACGCAACCCATATTATATTTACATCCTCCATAACATAAATTGAAGTGATTGTAAGGAGCTTCAAGCCCATCTATAAAATTCTACATGTACACAAATGAAGACATTCATTTAGATTAAATATTAATTTAGATTAAAAAATTTCTAAAACTGAGGTTTTAGAAATTGGTCTACATGTTTGAAGCATATGAAAACAATTATAGTACATGAAATTTATTAGTCCATCCCTTAATCGAAAAATAAATAGCCAAAAATATGTCATATCTTTTAATTGTTTTACCACCTAATGAATGAGAGCATGAACTTCTATGGAATCATTCTAGAGGATTAAAATAGTGCATTCACATCAAAAAAATTTATTATTGACTTTAATTTTGACACAAACAAAAGATACTCATTTTCAGATTGGCTATATGAATGCATATGTATGTGTATACATTATCCATATTTGAATCCCTTCCCATGCATGCAAAATCATTGTGATCCTTGTTGAGTCCAAGTCTAAAACATTCATGCATCTGCATCCCACTTCACTGATTCTCGTACGTGGGATGGTCAGCTGCGACCAGTAGAAACGAGCATAAGTTTTTAGCACAGCATTGCGGTTTGGGCAGATGACTCATTGGATCATCTCCATAGATTTGGTTATTGAGTTGATCACTGTCTCAGTTTCGGCAGGAGAAGGCTATTGAACTATTGCAGAAGATCACCACCATGACAAGGGTAAGAACTGATCACAAGCATTTCTTCTCCCCTTTATAGTTTTCTTCTAAAGAAGGAAAGTTATCCACATTCAACGTATACTGAGGCATGAAAAATAAAGAAGAAAAAATCCATTATCATGCATGAGTTCCATTGTGCTGGATTTTGCCATCTCTAGCATCAAAAGAATTTGATCGACAATTGACATTTTCTTGGCCCTTCGGTTTATCATGTAATTTTGTTATATTGAGTACTTGTTTCTTTGGAATCTGATTTTAGCTAGGATAGATAATAGAGATGTAGAGCCAATGCTTCATTTGGCAGGAAGGAATTAAGGAAACATACTGGAAGCTTACAACATGACCTACACGAAGACTGGGACATCTTCTAGGAAAGCCATCAGTTCAGATTGGGGTTTCACAGAACTGATGGAATTTGAAGTGCATGTGAGCTAGCTTGGATATCAAAATGGACCTACCACAACACATACACTTGCCATATCCAAATTAGATGCTTTACAAAAAAAGACCACCACTTGTCACTGAGAAATTACATATACTCAACTTGCTTGTTTTCTATGCATCATGCGTTGCAAAATGCCATATAAGTGAGAACTGTATTTAAGTCGTCGAAGTGTGTAGCAAAGGACAAATGAAGGAGGTTCGAATTTGCACATGTTTAACATCTTGCATGACAGAATGAACAAGTGTGTAAGCTGAGTTCGAGGCATGTGATGACAACAAAGGTGAGAACTGGAGAATTCTTTTGGCATTCCTACTTGTATTTGATGCTGTGACTGTGGACAACAAGAGAAGGTTGGGAACGTTTCTTTCCCCGTGAGTCACATTAGGTCAAGAGTTTTTAAAAGTTGCTATTTGCTTGTTCGGAACGAATTCTCTCTTTCTTGTCGCCTTCTAAAAGTCGGCTGCAATTTTTTTCGGGATTTTCACGTAAATAAGATTGCTTAGTTGACTTTTAGCTAATTAATCCGAATCCTTCTTTTTAGTGATCAAGCAAAGTCAACCGCTCAAACTGGCTCGATCGCCATACGAAGATATATACTCGAAGAAACAACACATAAGCAATTGAAAGTTTTATTAGGCAACTAAAAATAATCACGAGTTTGAACCGATGTAGCTCAAAGAAATGTGACGTTTGAACAGTATTCTAAAGTTCGTTGAAGTTTTTGGCATATGATGCTAGTAGATTTAGGTTGAAAACATGGTGCAATGTCAATGAAATAAAGATCTTGTGCTTATAATTCAAACGTATTTTTTTCCTTTTTTATAAAGAATAAAAAATATTTACCCAACACCAAATTTATGTTTTAAATGTGTAAGCTGAAAGCGATGTTTTAATTTGGAGAGGGGAAACGAGGTTAAGCAAGAGAACCGGCATTTGAGATGTGGTGTGTTTGTGGCACGTGTAAAGCATGCGATCATGTGATCACACTCGAGGTTTGTGGCACGAATGCGAGGTGGAAAGCATGCGAAACTCCTCCGATCTAAAGATCATGTCATCAAATGGGTTGCGTGCTGTGCTTTCTCTTAGCATAAAAATACATGGTAGCGTTTCAGTCACCTACGAATGTGACCGGAAATATCGTCCTAGTTTAGAATGACAATTGATAAGATGGCATGAGGATGAGATTAGGTCTTAAATTATATATCAATATTATTATATCTAAAAGCTTAAACTAGTATAAAAGATGAATATTAACGGAGGATATACGTTTTTCAAATGTGACCCGGCCAACATTTGAATTCAGGGTCTTCGATTGGAACCTCATCTTAAACCTTTTATCAATATCATTGCATCTAAAAATTTAATCAAAATCATCCTTGTTTTCAATTAATCATTTGAATACCAACACAAACGTGACATGAAACAATAAAATTAATTATGCTAATTATTATGTCAATTATTTTAATTATAATGTCCAAGACTCATACATATTAAATTATAATTAATATGTCAATAGGAACATATATAATATGTATGTGTTATCTCTACTTAATGATATGATTTGTGATGTCTATACTCTATAAATTTAATAATGTCTGAGACTCATACATACTTTCCAAAAATATTATTCTGTGAAATATTGGTTGAGTATATATAAGCATTATTATTTTCATTAAGCATTGCATAATAAGTTAAAGTATATTAAAAGACTTGAATATGAAGTTAAGTTATGATAATAAATACGCATATAGTGACTAGGAGTATTAGTTGAATTTCAATCGGTCTTAAGTGAATGAGTTTGACCGTTAATTAATATAAGAAAGTTTGAGTTTTAAATATATGTGAATAATCACAAGCTACTTAGGCATGGATAAAGTATGAAAGATTAAAGGGAGATATAAATCTAAGAGAAATTGTTGGGAAACGAGGACAGAACATCACATGCATAGCGGAAGAACAGAAAAAATAAAATCACAGATTTCCCAAAAGAAAAAGGTTTTATTATCGTGCAAAGATTGATACACAAAATAAAATGCAAAATAGAAAATCACGTATGTCAAGGCAAATTTGTTACCTATGGAGATCGTATATCCTTGTAAAACCCTAGATCTATAAGAGTGGATGAAGGAGATCAACTATCCTCCTCTCTAGTAGTGACCCACATGACAAATGCGACAAAAATGCTTTTCAAATCGCTGCATGATCTTCCTATCCAAAAAGACAGATATGGCATAATAAAAAAGGGCTCAACCCTTCTTACTATTCACATGCCCCAAATAGGGGTCGTTGACTAAGGACGAGAGGGAGGATGGAGAATAGGAGGTGGCAGCTAAAAAGGGTCTAGTCTATGCTCATTTGGTTCCCTCATATTTATAAATATTCTTATCAGCTTAACCCTAATGGATCCTGCCCTATTAGGTGTTGGATCTTCATCCAACTATCCAAGCCTATTGAATTAGTGGATCTCTACCAAAGAATCTCTCATTGGCTTTTATTGGATCTTATCCACAAGATCCAATAATTCATGGGCTTACTAGATATCCAATAAGATAGGGACTCTAACGGATATCTCACATCCAAACCTCTACTCGTCGCAATACCTACTATATGTGTGTGACTAGCCAAATCTATTAAAACTTCTTCTGACTCAGTGAATTAACATCTCTTATAATTATTCACTCGATTTATCGACTATGGATGTACTAGGCCACTATATCATAGTCCTTAGATGATATAGGGGAATCTAATCTATTGAATTTGTCTATCCTCAATTATCATGTATATATAGTCCCTCATCTATCTAATATTCTAACGAACGTATGTCGGATATGGTGCTGTCTAGCCTATACGGAATCTACTCGAGTCTCGCTTTAATCGAATTCTCACGAAGAATTCTCTCACTTAATCCGAATGACCTTAGCTAGGAATTTTCTTAAGCAAGAATACATAGGATATTCCTCTTATAATATTGAGAGTGGATGATTCTCTATTGAGACTCAATTACCTTTGTAAGATTGACTAACACTCTCAATAATCGACCGTGCTAGATTTGGAACCTCTAAACCTATAAGTTTGGTGTCA